AAAGAGATTTCCTTGCCTCTGAATTATAAACCTAATTGCTTTAAAGGCCTAGATCGAAGGTAAGCACTGTCTCAAGCTTTAGCTGGAGCTAAGTGATCTCAGGTAGATCACTTGGGCAGGGGTGCAGCCTGTCAAGGGGACACCTGGCAGGGATGTCCCCACAAGAAACCTGAGGGTCCTCGGTGGCCCAAACCCACGTATTTGGGAAGCGCCACGCAGCTTGTGTTTGGGCAGGTTAAAAATAAGAATTCCAAGTGATGGGATTTATGAACGCTTGCTTTGGTCCTAAACTGCAGTAGCAGGCCAGGCTGACCTGCAGGAAAAGTATGTTTTAAAATAACATCCCTCGAAAACAATGTCTCCTCCAAGTTCTTAGGCGAAACAATGAACCATCTGGGTATGCCTAGCAGCTGTTTCTTAAAATAAAATCATTTGGTTCCAGTTCTTAAAAAAAAAAAAAACAAAACCAAACACACAACACAAAAAAACCCAAACCCACCAGAAACCTGTATCAACAGTATCTATGCACCTTAGTAACCTCAACAAAAACAAATTAAGGTGGATCTTGCATGTGATGCACCAGAATAGCAACGCTGGGTATTCCACAGCCTCACTGTGATGATCTCTGAAGACACAAACCATTCCCTTACCGATTCTCCTGATGATTTCCTCGCTTTCCTGCTCAGAACTCGATGCAAATACCAGGCAGTCGAACATGCTCCCATCAGGACTCTCTGGGGGAGCGCTAAAAATGGAAACACGTACATTAGCCGGCAGAGAGAGCGGCTCTGAAAGCCCAGCCCAGGCTTGTAACCACACCAGAGACCCTGCGGCTGCTCTGGACGTCGCTTGTTTATTTTCTAAGACCCGCATCCCCCTACGTCCCCCCTCCCAGGGCCCACGGGCGGCACTTACGCTACACAGAAGGCGAATAAATTGCTGCTGTCCATGCAGCGTCCCACGCAGGAGATGGTGGGGTAGGGGTAGCGGCACAGGAGCTGCACAGGGGCAGGAAGGAGACGGCGTTAGGGGCTGCAGTCTGTCCCTGTCACCCCCATTCCTGGTTTAAACTGGCCCCACGACCCCTCCAGCTGGGCTCCCTGTGCCATGAGATCAGCAGCCTCGGGAATCACCCCGGACCGTGGCTGTCGCTCGCTTACCTTGGAAGAAATCTTCTCCTGCACAAGGACTTCTGCTTCCTTCACATCAAATAAAACCTCCTGAATGGGGGATGGAGGGGAAGAAGCCCCGATCATCACAGTGTCTGAGCCCTATTTTTCATAAGACACTTACAAGAGAGAGATCATTCAGAAGCAGAGGTGACAAAGCGCAGCCAAGCGCAGCTTTTTCAAGTTTTCTCTGTGCTGCCCTTTTTTTTCCCCACCACCCAGCGCTCTTGCACTTGAACCCTTTCACAAACACCCCCCACCCCACCCCCAAAAGGCTCAAGCAACAGTGACCTGACCCCTAAAGCACCCCTGGAACCAGGCTCAGCCTCCCCACAGTTTTCCAAGTGCTTTCCTGCAGGTGGTTGCATTTATTTTTTTCCTTAATGCATTTTCCTACCCTGGCTGCAGAGATGCTTCTAACCAGAAAAAAAAAACCAAAAAACAAAAAACAACCAACAGGGATGAGGGGGTGTCAAATACTCAGCCAGGCGAAGGGAACCTGGAGCTGGCAGGAAAAAAAATATCCCTGGGCAGAGACCATATTTCCCTGCAGTTTTCTCACCCGGGGCATCCCGGGATGCCCTCACCCCCTGCCGCTCACCCGTGGTGCTGCGTGCCTCTCCAGCACGGCGGGGATGGCCCGGTCCAGCACCTCTTTGCCACCATACTGAAACGAAGCGGGAAGGAGGGAATAACCCACTGGCACGTGAAAAGAAACCCAGAAGAGACAGTTTGCCTCTAGGCACGTCTCTGCCCCTTCGCCTCACGTTCCCAATGCCGGTCCGGCCCAGGTAGCGCAGGTTGTAGAGCAGCCTGGGGAAAAACAGGCAGGGGGGCATCAGAGCAAGGACCCCAAGCATCCTCCTCCTGCTTTTTGCAGGGGAAGATGCTCACAGCCCCCTCCGCCCCCAGGCCACGGTGGCAGCTTTGGCCCCATAGCCTTGAACGGGATAGCGTGGGCACGGAGCTGCCCCAATGCCGGGACTCCCAGCCCAGCCCAGGGACTCCCCACGGTGTCAGACCTACCTGTCCCCCTG